TTTTAAAAAATCAAAGAAAAAGTATTAAATAGTTGCTTGCATAAATTATTTAATTTAATGCTGGTATATACTTATATAAATAAAACTAAATAAATAATAAAATGAAAGTAAAAGGAATAAAAATTAAAAGTATTTAAAAAATTTTTTTAAAAAACACAAAAAGTACAACAATCTTCTAGTATAGTACTGTAATCTTCAATTTATATCTGTATATATTACTTATTTAGCCAGACATTTTATTTTTAATTAGTTTTTCTCTTTTGTTACTTTTTAATGCTAATGTGTATTGAACTTTTCATATGTATTGTTTGAATTTTATTTTTTTATGATTTTTGAGTATTTCTTGGTCTAAACTATTTAACTATCTGTTGCTGTTGCTGAAGTTGTGAGTGCTTTGAATTTATTTAATATAAAGTTTAATATAAGTTAAACTGCCTATTTTATTTCTTACAATATTTTATATATGTCTTTGTATGAACAAATCATAATCTTATACATTTGATATTTATGATTTTGAACATTAAATATTTGTGATTGCTTTCATTCATTTGTGATTGTTTTCAATGGTAGCTCTTGGACACAAAGAATTTCTATTATTAGGTTAATACCATAATAAAAATCAGGATTTTAACCCAATAAAATAATAAACATGACTGGTTTATAGCATTAGGCATTCATCATCAAAGTTATGAAGAATATAGTGGCAGATTTAAAATATGTAATTGCTCTAAGTCCTAGCATCTAAAATTTGTAAGAGGCATTTAAAATTGAAAGAAATGCAGTAAATATCTGCAATAAAATGAGTAAAAACAGTATACAAATTATTTAACGTATGTTTGTCAAATCACAAAATAAAATGAAGAAAAGTAAACATAATAATTATGAATTACCAAATAATTAAGAATTATAAAAGACTTGATTTTCAAAGATTATAAAATGTGTAGTGATTTGCAAACTCCCAAGTGCAGTGAAGAATACACTGGGAATTGGGAGGCTTAATGGAGCCATTCCTAATGCTCCATAAACTCTGGTATATTTCACCAGATTGCCAAATGGCAGAAACTAGTTGTGGATTTCTGTATTCGATATCTCCTTGTGCTGTTTATCTAGAGCTGGCTCAAATTTTGATAGAATGTAATAATATATTTTTTTCATGGAAAATAATCTTTATTTTTATAACAATAATTTATTATCGAAACAAATAATTTGTTAAGACACTTTTTGTCTGTGAGTAATTTGCTTTATTTGACGAAATTATTAATGAGGTCCAGCTCTTCTGGTTCACGACTAATCACCCTGTTTATTATATATTTATATTTATCTGAATAAAACTAATTTATATTGCATTCCAATAGGATAATACAGTACTTTTGGTTGACTAAATATGCTAATGCATTAATTTTAAGTACAAAATAAATAGTTAATTTTTTAAATTTATTATGTTGAATTACTATAAATTTAATTGTTTACTATAAATTTAATTACTATAAATTGTTATTCTTGTAGAACATGTAGTATTTTTATTAGGTTGAGTAATAAATCTTTGCACTTTTTATGTTCATTTTAAACATTACCATGTATATTTAACTTACAAATACAAACAATTAATCAATTAAATATGATCCATTTTGTTATATCATTAGTTGCTATCTTTCTACCAATTTCTCAATTCCTTTTCTGAAAAAGTTCTCAGATATTGAGGCAATATATTCCACAATAGCATTTTTGACTTCATCAGTTTGACCGAACTTTTTTTTTATCAAAATAATTCTGTGAAGATCTAAACAAATAATAATCTGAGGGTATCAAATATAGAGAATATGGTGGATGAGGCAAAACTTCTTACTGTAATTCACTTATTTTTTCTAGGGTTACTTTGGCAATCTGTGGTTTTGTGTTGTCATGATACAGTATATTCCCTGGCAGTTTATTAGTGCTGATCTTTGTCTTTTAATGCTTTGCTTAAAAGATCTAATTATTCACAATATGCATTGGCATTTATGATCTGGTTCAGATCTAGTAGTTCATAATACACTATACAGCTAATACACCATTTGCGCTGGATGGAAGCGATATATATCTATAAAACAGCAAGAGAAGACAACTGTATAAACAATAAAGATGAACTGTCCTTGTCGATGGCATAGCAAACTTTTATTTACGACACTTGAGAAGCCAAAAGCGATCCTTCTATCTTCTGAGCATGCGCAAGTTTAACACGATGATTGTCACTACGCTTCACCAGTCGCGTTAATTCTTGACAGTTATAGCGGACAGACACGAGTGTCATGGCAATATGTGATAAATGATGATATCAAATATAGATAACAATGAAATGACCTACACGTGTAAATAACAGAAAAAGAACAGAGAAGGACTGTGAAGTGAAAATGTGAAAATAAATACAAGATTGAGTTGATAGCATAATCGAACAAATGGAGGCAGCTTATTGGCACGAAATTTGCGGCCGTCAGTACCAAACAATTGTTGTCATAGACTTCGGAAAGCTAAATGCTTGTAATGAAAGTCACTTAGCATGCACGGGCGAAAGCCTGGGGCCATTTGGGCTACCGAGCTGTCTCAAATTTGTGAAATCATAACTGTGACTTATTCCGACGTCCTATGTGTCTCTTTTCTCCGTTATCACCAGGCTATGAGTCACGTAATTGTAAACTTGGAAGTCTACGACAGAAAAGTTACGAATCAAAAGTATCGTGAGTGCGTATTGTGATGTATGCATAGGCATACGTAAACTAGAGCGATAGAGGAAAGAGAAAAAGAAGAGCAAAGACGAGCGCTTAAAAAGAATAGGCAGGGTCAGACTTTCAGATGTGTGACGATTCTCGAACAAATAGGTTTGTACGTGTGCTGATTTTTGTAATTATAAATTGTGAATACATGTGACTAATATTATTTTCTTTTTTATTTTGTGCATATTATAAATTATAAATAAATATAAACAAACAACACTAACCCAATAACATTAAATCTAAATATCAAAATGATTNAAATTGTGAATACATGTGACTAATATTATTTTCTTTTTTATTTTGTGCATATTATAAATTATAAATAAATATAAACAAACAACACTAACCCAATAACATTAAATCTAAATATCAAAATGATTAATTTACTGTGTTTTTGTTATTTCTTACTCCTGTTTTTAGGTATTCGGTATTCAGCCAAATAGCAATTAAATATTCGTATTTGGCCGAATAGCGAAAAATACGCCGAATACTGAATAGTAACCTAATATTTGTTACATCACTACTCATTACTTTTTTGGGTGCAGTCTACTTTTTGGTGTGGGTGTTGAGGGCTTTGTTGGATTTAGCCACAACCATTTCCATTGAATTTTAGAGTATAATATTCATTTTTCATCTCCAGTAATTACTTGATCTAAAGATGGATCTTTCTTTTGATAATTGAATAATAATCCTGTAATACTTAATCATTGTGCAAGATCAGTTTCTGTTAACTCACGTGGAACCTACAAACCTAGCTTAGGAACTTTTCCAAGCCTTTTAAGATCGTTGCATATACCTTTTTGACTTAAATTTAATTTTATAGCCAATTCTCTTGTGGTAGTTCTTGGATTGGCTTTAACCAGAGATCATCACTATTGACCATGATTGATCAACCAGAGCACTCATCATCTTTCAAGCTAAAATCTCCCATCTGAAACTTAGCAAATTAAAACTGAGCTTTTGTCTCTCTTAAAGTGTTGATGCCATAATATTTGCAAATTTCTGTTATTTAATACATTCTAGAAGAAAACACAAAATAGAACATATATTTTGGTACACGTGTACTTTTTCATTTTTGAAATATATGTTTTATTTTGTGTTCTTTTTTGGAATGTATACAGATAAACTCTCTAACCTTGAAATTCTCCCAGCAAAGTGATGAAAGTCCAGAAAAAAAATGCTTTCAATCTATGTCCAAGACCTGCTTCAGGTTACAATTTTTCAGAAATAAAATACTATAGGCTTTGATGTTTGAAAATGAAATATGCAGAATTCCAGAGAAATTCAAATTTAAAACCAAAGATTGACCAATAGGATGTGCCAAATATAGATGATGTAATGTGATTTTATAACAACCTATCAAATAGGGCCTGCCATGCTTATGAAATCTGCTTTTCTTCCTTAAAGTTTATACATTGTCCTTAAATGTCTGCTTTAAAAATTTCAAGTGTTTCTAGTACCTTGAGTTGGTCTGTGTTTTCTGCTGTTTTAATCAATGTAGCTTTTTGTTTATTTGTTCTTTTTTTATTGTCTGTCTTTTTTTGGGGGGGCGTTGTTTTGTTTTTTTCATACAATGTTTTATTTGGAGGGGCAACCCCTTGCCTTTTTGTTCTTTGGTGATGATGATGTTATTCGTCCTTTTTTACAGGCTACATTGATTAGAACATTGGCAAATATGGACCAACTCAAGGTATTGGAGGCACTTGAAATTTTTAAAGCAGACATTTAAGGACAATGTATAAACTTTAAGGAAGAAAAGCAGATTTCATAAGCATGGCAGGCCCTATTTGATAGGTTGTTATAAAATCACATTACAACATCTATATTTGGCACATCCTATTGGTCAATCTTTGGTTTTAAATTTGAATTTCTCTGGAATTCTGCATATTTCGTTTTCAAACATCAAAGCCTATAGTATTTTATTTCTGAAAAATTGTAACCTGAAGCAGGTCTTGGACATAGATTGAAAGTGTTTGTTTTTTCTAGACTTTCATCACTCTGCTGAGAGAATTTCAAGGTTAGAGTTTTATATGTATAGAATTTATTAACTTAATTACTGTTAAAAACAGCAAAAATGTTTGTTTACTCATTAAATATTCTTTACTGGGTTTTTTTTGTCATTGATTTTAATATATTAACTTTACTAATAATAGTTTGTTATTTTAATTTTGTATTTACATTTAAATAATGTATTTATAATTTTTCAATATATACAGTTTATTTATTAAAAATTTATTTTTTCATTTCTAGTAAATTTGCTCTTATCAGAAAAAGTTTAAAATGTCTGAAACTGCTTTAAAGTTTGGTCCTGAATGGTTAGTCTGACTTATGTTTTATATTTATTAATATAGTCAGTTTTATTTAAGGGATATAATTCTATATATTATTAATATCAAAATATTCAAAATTATCTTACATGTTATATCTATTTCTTATTATTTAATAATTACAATGATTAATATGTGAATTAGAACAATTTTGTGTTTTGTTTAAATATAATTTTATTTAAAATATATAGTGAAATTGTTAATAGCTTAAATTTGGAAATTTACTAATGAAACAGTTAAAATGTTCAAAAATTTAAATATAATGAAATTATATGTTGTTCGAATGTATATGCATAAAAAGATGAAGTGTTAAAGAAGAATTAAAAGTTTTTTCCTGTATAGAAAATAAGTTCTTGATTTTAGAAACAGTTTTTGCTGCATTTACCTTATTGACAACTCAGTTAAATTTTATGTATTAAAGGATAATAGACATTAGCATTTGAGATAAGCTAACATTAATTTAATTAATGGATAATTATTTCTTTAATTAAAAAGCAATATATTAATATTAATACCACACCAGAGTAAATCAATGGAACTGTCTTTTTGGTGTTAGAAGAGAAATGAAATAAAGACAATATTAAATTTAGAAAGCAAATATGATTATATGTGCTTTTGATGATAATATATAACCATTTTCTTCAAGTAAAAACAGAAAAAAAAAATTGTTTTATTAGTATAATATTGTCTTTATTTGACCACTTTTAACACTAAAATGACAGTTTTTTTTTCTCTTATTGATGTCTATAATGCTTTTCACTTTCAAAAATCATTGCACTATCCAATAATGTAATTACTAATAAATATTTATTTTTATACTTTTGAGAGAGAATTTTTTGGTAAGATTGTGTTGAAATGATTGATTATTATTGGGTTGTTTGGAAAGTAAGTTTGTTTTTTTACCACTAGACGGATTAGTGGTATTTTTCCCGCCATTTTCGTTCTAAACTGTATTATCATTATATATTTTGACAGCTAGCATTTTATGGCTTATTTGTAAAAAATTTTCTTTGATTTTGTGCAATTGTTTATTTTTTGTGTCCCATCAAATATGGAAGATTGAAAGCAGCATCTTCGGCATATTTTGCTTTTTTATTACCAAAAAATTAAAATGCTGTTCAAGCGAGAAAAAAATTGTGTGACATGTATGGCGGAGATGTGTTTACAGAACGACAGTGCCAAAACTGGTTTACAAAATTTTGTTCTCGCAGTTTCAATATTGAAGATGCACCACGTTATAGATGGCCAATTGAAGCCAATGAAAACAAAATAAAAGTACCGATTGAAGCAAACTGTGGAATAACAACACGTGAAATCATTAAGAGATTAAATTTGTCAAATTGAACTGTTTATGAGTACTAGAAACAAATTGGTTTCGTTTCAAAGCTCGATATATGAATTCCACGAGTTCTTAAAGAGAAATGCTCTATTTGGTGGGATATTAAGGAAATATTTTTTAGAGCTTTTACCAGACAATTTAACAATTGATTCGAAAGTGTACTGAGTTCGAGTAAACAAATTGCATAATATCATCAAACAGAAAAAAACCAGCCAGAATTGATTAAAAAAACAGCTGTAGTGTTTATCACGATAATGTCAAATTTCACACAAGTTTGCTAACTTGTCAGAAACTGTTATAACTTAGATGGGACATGCTATCACACCAACCGTATTCGCCAGATCGAGCACACTCAGATTATTACTTGTTCCAGTCTGTACAATTTTTNAAGAAGTCTTCTTGATATGATAAAATGTGAAAGGGTGTTGAGCTATAATTTCTATTACCATAATTCACTATATCATATGCCAGTTATGCTTTTACCAGACAATTTAACAATTGATTCGAAAGTGTACTGAGTTCGAGTAAACAAATTGCATAATATCATCAAACAGAAAAAACCAGCCAGAATTGATTAAAAAAACAGCTGTAGTGTTTATCACGATAATGTCAAATTTCACACAAGTTTGCTAACTTGTCAGAAACTGTTATAACTTAGATGGGACATGCTATCACACCAACCGTATTCGCCAGATCGAGCACACTCAGATTATTACTTGTTCCAGTCTGTACAATTTTTTTAACTGTAAGACATTTACTTGAAATGACAATGTCAAAAAGCACTTGGATCGGTTTCTTGTAAGCAACGATCAAAACTTTTATGAATGTGAAATCATGCTACTACCAGAAACGATGACAACAGGTATTTGACCAAAATGGTAACATATAATTCAATAAAATATCTATTTATCATAAGAATATTGCGTTTTTTTCCACGGAAAAAAAACCGAACTTACTTTCCGAACAACCCAATATATAAAATAATATTTGCAGTGTATATTTTATGTGTTTATATATAAAAGGGAGTTGATAGTTTTTCTAACCTAAGGATATATGTAATATTGATCCATAGTGGTGTGATGTATGTGGATTTGGAAGAAGTCAGAGGAAAACATCTTTGAAAATGGATTAATAGAAAAGTTACAGTAGTAAAACTTGTGAAAATTGATTTTTTAATATTTAGTCTTAAATACATAATACTTATTCTAAAGCATTACTGTTATAATTAATTTTTTCAATGATATTAAATATATATATTATATACTTTTACTAAAAAGTTTTAAATGCAATAAAATCAATTTGAATATATTTATATATTTGAATATAAACCTTTGAAATTAAAAGTTTCGAAACTTAAATTTTATAGATACAAAAAGAGTGGAATTAGAGAAATAAGATAATTGAAGGAGTAAATAATTTAATTATAATTTTTTTACTGTGAGCATTTACAATTTAAAACTTGAGAAAATTTTCTGTTTTGAAAAATTACACAAATGAAATGCTCAAATGGACAAGAAATTGCAATTTGGTTTTAATATATATTTTGAGTAATTGTTATCTTGTTAAAATAGAACAAACAATTCAAAGCAAGAAGCAATTAGGGACAATCAACAGATCTAAAAAAAAAAAGAATGAAGGTGTTTTAAACTTAAAATAATTAAAAATTTTAAGCAGTATTTTAAATTTTATATTCTTTAATTCTTTATTCTCTACTATAATAGAGTTCCCAAAAGACTGGAGATAACTGCTAAAAATTAATATTCTCTTGCTCATAAATAACAAAATAATTGTCTATTAAATTAAACAAATTTAAATATCTACATATAATAATCTGTACATGATATTACAAAACTAAGAAATTAGATTAGTATAAAACTGTTGTTGAATAAATCAAGAGATAAATTGTTTAAAATCTTTTGACTATTTATATCAATCAGTAAAAGGATGTACTAATAATTGACTTGTTTCTTCCTCTGTTTAGATACCTAAAATAAATATTGGATACATAATAGAAATCTTTTTTTATTTTTTTATTTTTATTTATTTTTTTTTTTGTGTTTTATATTTCTGTTTTGTAGAAATGATTTTTAAAAACTTTTACAATATTTTGTAAATATTCAATTCAAAATTTATTTATTAATAGAAGGCAACTGCCTGTTACAAAGGGAGTTCTACTCCTTGTCTTTATCATCAGTATCATTAAAATTCAATCAAACATCAAAAAACTTCTTAACATAATTATTTAAATTGTAAACATTTTTTTGGGTTGCACAATGGAACATCACATACATTGCTTCCACCGATTCACATCCTCCAAAATCGAATAGATCATATCTCTGTCTCAACTCTAAACTCTTCTTACATTCACAAATCAGATGAAATTTAGAAAAAGGCATAAGACATCTTGGGCATAAGTTATTCTCGTATATATATACTTTATTGTCTATCACCAATGTACTAGCATTAAGTTGAAGCTGTATAAAAAGTCTCTTCACACAAAATGGTAAGCTCAAAAATATGTAACTATTATTACTTGGGTACAATAGTATTGAACTATAATGATTCAATGATATTCGTAAGCGAGTATCCTCTATATCTTGCATTAGTGAAATTTCTAGTACATTCCAGATTAAATGATGATACATCTCCTCCCCAAGTTTCGGAGAAAATATAAATGGTTCAATCGAACTGCCATAACCATTAATTATTTTAGACAAGTTTGATATCCAATTCCTTTTCAAAAATTTATTAATGGAATTTTTATATAATTGATTTAAAAGGTTAAATGTAATTACACTACCATCTCTTACCTTAATTAATAACTTTATACATCTTTTAATAAATAGCACCATGAGACTAAATCTACTTATCTCCAATCTTAGTATACTACCTGGAGTTTTATAATCTAACCAAAACAATCTATGTATAAATTTATTTTGAATAGTGTCCAACTTTTGAACATTGGAGAGACACCATATAGGAGAAGCATAACTTATCGACTTGAAAACCAAAGACTGAAATAACTTAAATTGTGTTTGGATCATACCCAAACTAGTCCTAGAAAACAACTTCACAATACCTTGGATTAATCGATTAGACTTAGCCATCATATTTTTAATTTGACTCTTAAAGGAAAGTAATGGTGAAAAAACCACTCCTAGAAACTTTTTTTCATTGACTATACTAATTTCTGTATTATTAATAAAGAAAGACATATGCTTTTTAGGCATTCTTGTTCCATTTCTAAAAATCATTATGTGATATTTCTTAGGATTAATGTTCAAATCCAATTGAGAAAAGTACATGGTTAATAGACGTATCTTCCTTCTAAGGGCAACCACTGTCGGTGCTATAATAACAATATCATCGGCATAAGAGATAGATTGAATCACTGTATTACCAATCAGAAATCCATCATCTTTGTTATTGAAAATATCATTAATATCATGGATATAAAAATTAAATAAATATGGTGACCAAGGGTCTCCCTGTAATAAACCTCGCTCTATCGAATGAAGACAACCCTGATCTCCCTTGTATTTATGCCAAAGAAAAGACCTACCACATTAACCAAATGGCCAAACAAAAGACCTACCATATTAACCAAATGTTTATCAGCTTTATATTGTAACATTTTATTTTGTAAACC